TACAATTAAGATGAGCTTTACTTTGTAAATTGTAGAGCTTTTTACGCTGCATCTTCTAGCATCTTTTGTTTTTTAATATAATGTATTAAATGATAAAAAATTGAAATGCAAAATGTGACCGTTTAATCTGCCGCATTCCTTATTTTTTGAGAACCAAAAATGCATGTAACAAACTTCCTCTATTGGCTCTCTTACTTCTTAACCTAGAAGCTTTATTTTTTTGCGTAATAAGTACATTTTGAAATGCTCTTTAAAATGACTATTTATTTGTTGAAATTGCTCAAGTAGTTGCCGAGATATATCTATAACAAAATTGCGGAGAACTTTTTGGACATACCTTATTTTAGGATTGGAACAACAAAAATATTTGAAACTGTCACAATAACCTATTCTGATTAAGAATGTGCAAAGTTTCTAATCGAAATTTGAAAATCGATTTTTTTTGGGCGTTCTTGGACGCAACTACAGCATTGACTTGAAAAATACTGTATCTTTCTTCAATACGAAATTTTCTTTTCGAGTGAATGTCATGATTAATCGATCTAAAAAATATTTCATAGGAATTTTAATTGAATCTTACCTATATAAAATCGTTTAAATTTATTGAGTTTTTTTTTTGTAATGGAATTTTTTTTTGGAAAAACTGATAATTTCGTTTCTTCCATTTTCTAATTCAGATGCAACATGCAGTTGCTATTAGAGGTGAAGAAGATTATCAAATACATCGAATAGCAAAATCTTTAAATTTTGAATCGAATATTGTTCATCCAACAACATCTAAATCTATGAAATTAGCTCTCTCATATTCTTGGTCGAGTATAAAATATCTTTTTCATTTACTTCATCCATCAACAATTCATAATACTTATAATCGATTCCGACAAATGACATTTAAAGATATGATTAAAAATTTATACTTATTATTAATTAAATGTATGCATTTATTATTGATGATAATAATTTGTGGATTTAGGTATGTTAAATAATATTGCTTAAAGGCTGGATTTGTTATGATCGAAATTTCTTCAGTTTTAATATAAAAAAAAAAACATTTCACACAAGAAAAATTTGATGAATAATATGAAATTTTTTTTTTTTTTTTTTCTTTAAAGCTCAATGGATATTTTGTTTTGTTTTTCATGTTTGTATAGAACATTAACATACTGTATTTGGAATTTAATGACCGAAGATGATCAACAAAATATACAACGACCAGAACGAACTTTTCCACCATCACTACCACACCGACATGATTATCGTCTACATATGTTTCAAATTCTATCGCAAGAAAAAAAATAAAAGATCAAATTGAAACTTGTTATTTTTTTGTTATTTTAGCTTCGGTCAGTATTCTACATAGCTTTAATACTGATGAAGATGTAATAGGAGTCAGTGCATTTGGAATTAGTGTTAATTTAGATTCAGACTCAAAACATAGGTAAACATATAGAATGATTCATTTCTTATCATTCATAGTTTTTGTTAACATTATAGAACGTCTTTAACTGATGAACAAATAAATCTACTTTTAATAGATAGTACTCGAATAATGGGAAGTCGACGTAAATCTTCGCTTATCAGTAATATTGGTTCATCAATAGGACAATCTTTACTATCATCAATTACAACTACAAATACACAGTTATCAACAACAACTTATAATCGAAATCAATCTTCAATAACACCTTCTGGACCTAATAAACTACAATCAATTACGACAACAAATATGCCATAAAATATAATCGAAAAATCTACAGATGCACTTGAAGTAAATTCTTATTATTTGTATGTTTATTCGAGTATTGGACTTCGCTTGTTTTTTTTCTTTTCTCTAAAGGTAAATACTGAAACTGAATATCAACAAAAATAATCATCGACAAATATCAATAGCACAGCAAGCGGAGATGATGATGTTATTCCTTCGGAATCACCAACACGAAGAGCTTTTGGAAAGAAAGCTCTGGTATATAAAATCTTAACGAATGGTTTTTGTCAAACTACACAATGAAAAAACATAGGATTTCATTTAAGAAAATACAAAGAGAGATTTCTTTTTTAAATTTTTCTCTCAAAAAAAACAACAACGAGTATATGTAACTGACATTATCAGTAGAATCATCACTTTGAGAGGTATTGTAACAACTAAATGAATTATTATCAGCACCAAAATATAAGGTAGGTCGAGTGGTCGATTACCACTATTCTGATCCATGTCATTTAGCCGATTTTTGGTGGTCTTGGGAAAACGCCTAAAACTCATGAACGAAATAAGCTCGACAGCTCGGCTTTGTGCAGATCGAAAGAGAACAATTTTTTTCTATTTCATAATTTGGCTTCTCTTATTTTCTTGCGTTCACCCATACGGTTTCGTTTTTTTTTTTGAAAAGTACAATCAAAACTGTATTTCTTAAGCTAAACTTATATATGGTTTGAGTCATCGTTCGAAAAGAAATGTTAGATTCGTCTGAGAATGCTGAATGAGAAAATTCAAGATTGAGAGTTTATCAATTAGTTGATGGATAAATGGCTTTTTATTTTTCATGATATACAGTAATATTTGTGCACATACACCTCAACAAAAATGTAGATCAATGGTATTGCGGCATCTTTATTGTTTAATTACAAAGAAAGTTATGATGAATGCACCTACTTTTCCTTGTCACTCTCATAACCTTGGAAAGGAAGAGTATCCTGTGTCATTCGACATCTAACAGATATAAACAGCTACAACATGATTTGTAAAAAACTTGAGTGCAAAAAGGACAATGAATGTTTTCTTTTTTGAAGTCATTCTCATTAACCGATTAACAATGATTTAACAAACTGACCAGTTTTTGTTGGATTTTACCGATCTAGAAGATTTTCTGGATTAGACTAGTTCAAAAATTCTTGGCTAATTATGACTCTGATTTAATATCACGTAAAAGATAAATGAATTTTTGTTTAAAGCTTAATAGGATAATATTCTATGTCACACGTTTGCTCGTATTAACATCGATATAGCGCATATTATACCAAACAGTTTTGTCGATGATTTTTATCCGATTCGAATCACATAAAATCAGGGTTTGTCGATTTCGATATTTAGAAAATATCTTACATTGATGATGAATGTCAAAAAAAAAATTGAAATATTCTTCTTTTGATAATTTTAAAATAGGCATTTATAATTAATTTTCTCATGTTATTTTATAAGGTAAAAATCTTTTTTTTTTGTTTTTGTTTTCTTTTCATTAATTGATGAAATTATGTGTAAACTATTTTAGGCAATGCCATTAACTACGGTAGTTAGTTAATCAGTTTCTTCTGATGATATAGAAGAAATTGATGAAGATGAAAATGAAATAATAGTAATGGATCCAAGAAAATATTATATGATTTATTTATTACGAGCAAGCTGCATTTTTAATGATAATTAGTTATTATAAATTAAAAGTAGAAATATTTAATTCTTTTCTTTTTTTCTATTGTTAAAATAATGATTTGCTTGTTTTTTTTTGTTTTTGTAGATCAATTTAATTATGATGAATTAAGTCGATTTTTGGATATGGAAAAAAAAGTGATACACCGGGAAAATTTGCAATTGTTAAATCAATTGAAACTGGTTTATGGGCAAAGTATATAAAACAAAAAGAAAAAAAGATTGACAAAAAAAAGAGTTTTATTTTATTAATTTAGGATTAAATCTATGGATGATATGCGTTATCTAATTTGGAAATTGGGTGTTATCTTTACTGATAATGCAAGTCATGATGAATTAAATAATTCAAAAATCAAAAAACAAAAGGTTTATTTTCATATTGCTGAGAATTAGTGAGTACTTTGACGAGTCTTACATCAAATACAGTACTCGCCATAAGTGGGCACGACCGAAAAACCGAGGAAGACAAAGAAGTTATTTGATTAGATTTTACTTATGAAATACACATTATGTGTGTATCATCCTGATAATTGATAGAGTCGCTTTTTCTTTCTGTTAACAATGCTACTCTATTTTCCATAGAATCGACTAATTTTTCATTAGATTCATTAGCTAAGTTTCTTCGTTCTTTTTTTTTCATTTTTTCAATAAAATGATTGATCGACACATTCGGTTCTTTGTTTGTTCTTAGCTTCATCAATGCGCAGATATCTTCAATTGGGTTACAGTCTATGAGCTTTATATTCCACTTAAATGTTTTTTTAAAATATCGTCACTTGTTAGAAATGGTTTCGAGATCGGTTTCATTGAATGTACACCTGCAGTTTTTAAATCTTCTTTTTTAGCATTGTTTTACTAATTTTTATACCTCTTTTTGATAACCTAAATGCAATTCGACCGACAGATTCGATTAAATGTTGAGCTATCCTCAACGGAGACGTTACATCTTTTCTCTCCGGTATATATCGAGTTTTATGCAACTTATACGTCAGCAGTTATTTCGTACCTTTTAAGGGAGTGTCCACGAGAGGACCGACCAACTTTGTATGAGACCGGCTGCCGATAAAATTTTAATTTTTGATTTAACTATCTAAAACGATAGATCATCATTGGGAGTTCCTAAGTCCAAAATATCAGATCTTTCTGACGTTCCTGTGAAAAACGCCAGATCATGCAAGTGACACATCCCTCGGCAGTTGGTAAAAAAATTGCTATTTTTCAGTGCTCCCAGTATTTTGCACTTTTCTCTGCATTCGAACATTTCTGGGAATTTGGGGACGTCTCAAAAGATTCAAAAATGTTTTCTCTACAAAGTTTACTAATTCAGTATATTCCACAATGTTATTTATCAAGTGATAGTCTCCATATACGAGTCAAATGACGATTGCCTAAAAATGAAGATTTTTCATAATATTGACATTAGCCGCGCTGAATCATACTGTCCTAAAATAATTTTTGTATTTTCTGAAAGCCCTTGTAATTCTGTATCGTTTAAGATATAACTCAAAAGATTTCAACCTTGGTAACGAAAGTTAGTCTGGACCACAAACAGTGAAGGGTAATGCACATTTCTATCAATTTGAGCCCGTAATAAAACTAATACATATTTTATATTCATTCAAACCGAAAATATGATTCCAAATTCGTAATCAGCATAAAAAACTGGATATAAAAACTTGGTTTCGTTAAATGAAAGATAAATAAAAAAGAAGCTATTCTGTCCAATACAAGTAACTGAAGGATACCTCAATGTATATTTTTATAGACGTCTGTATGACTGTTCACGAAGAGAAATGAAGCAAAATGTTGCGCCTCACACAGAATCGCTGAAGTCTTAGCTTCAAAAGTATCTTATGATGTGTCTTTGAGTTTTATATAGTTGCCGAGAAAATCAGACTTTTTTGATTGTTGGTAGAAAAAATATATAAACTGTAAAAAATGGGGACTATGTCCGATAGCTTTCACCATCATAACCAATTCCAATAGCGAAATGAATAGCATATTCGGAATCAGCGCAAAAAACTACGTCGGAAAACATATTTTTTAGAAAAACTTTTTTTCTATGAAAAATCGAACCTGGGGGGACCACAGACAAAATTTTGAAAAAAAGCGCTGAGAGAGACCACAGGGTCCTTTTTTTCCGGAAAAACATTTTCTAAAAAGTATGTTTTTCAACGTAGTTTTTCACGCTGATTCCGAATACGCTATTCATTCCGCTGTTGGAATCGGTTATGGTGGTAAAAGCTATCAAACATAGACCCTATTTTTCACAGTTTTCTGTATTTTTGCTACCAACATAGGGAAAAGTCCGATTTACTGCACAACGATGCAAAATTTAAAGACACATCAATAGATACTTTTGAAGCTAAGACTCCAGCCATTCTGTATGATGTAGAACTTTTCGTTCTATATCTCTTCATGAAAAGCCATACCGAGGTCTATAACAGCATACTTTGAGATATCCTTCAGTTATCTATACTGGACAGGATTTTTTTATTTGATTTACTTTACATTTAATGAAATCACTATTTTATACTCAGTTTTTTATGCTGATTACGAATCTGGAACCGTATTTTTGATTCTGATAAACATAAAATATGTCATATTCTGATTGTGGGTGAAAACGGATAGAGATATTCGTAACCATCAACATTTGGGGTCTGGACTAACTTTCGCTACCAAGGTCTTAATCTTTTAGGTTATACCTTAAACAATGCAGAATTTCAAGGGCTTTCAGAAAATATAAAAATTATTTTGGGACAGCATAGTTCAGTGTGGCTAGGATCTATATTCTGGAAAATGTTCATTTTAGTCTATACTCATTTTTGCTGGTATATTGGGATTATCATTTGGTGAATGGCATTGTAGAATATACTGAATAATCCAATTTTATAGAAAAAACATTTCTGCATCTTTTGAAATGTCTCCGAGCTTGAACAAATGTTCAGATGCAGAGAAAAGTGCAAAATACTGGGAGCACTGAAAAATAGCAATTTTTCGACCAACTGCCGATGGGTGTGTCACTTGCATGATCTGGCGTTTTTCACAGGAACGTCAGAAAGATCTGATATTTTGGACTTAGGAACTCCTAATGGTGATCTATCGTTTTAGATAGTTAAATCAAAAATCAAAATTTTATCGGCAGCCGGCTTGGTCGGTCCTCTCGTGGACCCTCTCTTAAGCTCGCATTTTACAATCGCCTCACTGATTCGTATAAATATTGTAAAATATTAGTATTTGACACGTATGGGACACAGCTCTGCCCTTATAGAAAAATTATTTATCATCTTTTCTTCAAAAAAAAGAAAAAAAAAATGCCTATTTTGTAAAACACGATCTGAAAGGAGTGTTGAAGTGTATAGGGTAGAAATTTTGGACCCACTCCCTCCTCCCCACAGACCGTGACAGACACTCACGTGACCCATCACAAACCGTGATAG